ACAGTTCCCACGTGTCCGTGCTCGGTCCCCGTGCCCGTGCACAGTTCTCCCGTGTTTGTGCACGTTTCCCTCGTATCCGTGCACGGTTCCCGTTTTTGTGCACGGTTCCCTCGGGTCTGTGCACGGTCCCCGTGTTCATGCACAGTTTCCCCGTGTCCGTGCACGGCCCCCGCATCCATGCACGGTCCTCGTGTCCATGCACAGTTCCCCCACCCATGTCCATGCACAATTCCCCCATGTCCGTGCACATTTATTCCGGGGCCGTGCACTTTTCCCCTTGCACGTGTCCGATCTCCTTATTTTTGCACAGTTCCCTCATGTCTGTGCCCGGTCCCCGTGTCCATGCACAATTTCCCCATGCACTGCACAGTTCCCCCATGTCCATGCACATTCATTTTGGGGCCGTGCACGATCCCCGTGTCTTTGCACCTTTCCCTCGTGTCCGTGCACGGTCCCTGTGGCCATGCACAGTCCCCCCGTGTCCATACACAGTTCCCCCACCCATGTCCATGCACAATTCCCCCATGTCCAAGCCCATTTATTCCGGGGCCGTGCACTTTTCCCCTTGCACGTGTCCGATCTCCTTATTTTTGCACAGTTCCCTCACATCCGTGCCCGCTCCCCGTGTCCATGCACAATTTCCCCATGCACTGCACAGTTCCCCTATGTCCACGCACATTTATTCTGGGGCCGTGCACGATCCCTGTGTCTGTGCACCTTTCCCTCGTGTCCGTGCACGGTCCCTGTGGCCATGCACAGTCCCCCCGTGTCCATGCACAGTTCCCCCACCCATGTCCATGCACAATTCCCCCATGTCCAAGCCCATTTATTCCGGGGCCGTGCACTTTTCCCCTTGCACGTGTCCAATCTCCTTATTTTTGCACAATTCCCTCACGCCCGTGCCCTGTCCCCGTGTCCATGCACAGTTTCCCCATGCACTGCACAATTCCCCTATGTCCACGCACATTTATTCTGGGGCCGTGCACGATCCCTGTGTCTGTGCACCTTTCCCTCGTGTCCATGCACGGTCCCCGTGTCCATGCACAGTTTTCCTTGTGTCCATGCACAATTCCCCCATGTTCAAGCCCATTTATTCCGGGGCCGTGCACTTTTCCCCTTGCACGTGTCCAATCTCCTAATTTTTGTACAATTCCCTCATGTCCGTGTCCTGTCCCCGTGTCCATGCACAGTTTCCCCAAGCACTGCACAGTTCCCCTATGTCCACGCACATTTATTCTGGGGCCGTGCATGATCCCTGTGTCTCTGCACCTTTCCCTCGTGTCCATGCACAGTCCCTGTGGCCATGCACAGTTTCCCCCGTGTCCATACACAGTTCCCCCACCCATGTCCATGCACAATTCCCCCATGTCCAAGCCCATTTATTCCGGGGCCGTGCACTTTCCCCCTTGCACGTGTCCGATCTCCTTATTTTTGCACAGTTCCCTCACATCCGTGCCCGCTCCCCGTGTCCATATACAATTTCCCCATGCACTGCACAATTCCCCTATGTCCACGCACATTTATTCTGGGGCCGTGCACGATCCCTGTGTCTGTGCACCTTTCCCTCGTGTCCGTGCACGGTCCCTGTGGCCATGCACAGTCCCCCCGTGTCCATACACAGTTTCCCCACCCATGTCCATGCACAATTCCCCCATGTCCGTGCACATTTATTCCGGGGCCGTGCACTTTTCCCCTTGCACGTGTCCAATCTCCTTGTTTTTGCACAGTTCACTCAATGCCATGCCCGGTCCCCGTGTCCATGCACAGTTCCCCCCTCCATGTCCATGCACAATTCCCCCATGTCCATGCACATTCATTCCGGGGCCGTGCACTTTTCCCCCGTGCCCTCCCGCCGCCCCCCGCCCGCTCCCCGTCCCCTGGCTGCCTCCGGCCGTTATTTCGTTCCCCCGACCCCCGGCTGGGACACGGCGGTGCTGGGGACCCGGGGCTGTGCTCGGGGTGCCCCGGAGCCCCCAGCCGCGGCCCGGCCCGAGGGGATCGTGCCGGGCTTCTTCCCTAGAAAGATCCTTTGTTTATGGGGAGGGGACCGCGAAGCTCCCCCCTGCTCCCCGGCCAGCCCCGGCTGCTCCCCGGTAAAGCCGGACCGGGGGAACCGGGGGTCCCCGGGGCTCCCACACTCTCAGGCCGCCCGCGGGGGCGGTGGGCCCGGAGAAGCGCGGCCGTGCCGAGCCGTGCCGTGCCGATCCAGGCCGTGCCGTGCCGAGCCGTGCCCGTAGGAAGCGGCCGTGCCCACCGCCGGCTCCTCGTTACCTTCATTTCCAGCGGGCCGGGGGTCGCGCCGCTCCCGCAGCCCCCCGGGCCTGGTGAGCTGCGGGCACCTCCGCCGAGCTGTAAAACGGAAAACCCAAGGATTTTTCCTCCCCTTCCCGGAGCAGCTCGGGGAGCGGGAGGCGGCTCGGGGGAGCCCCGGAGCAGCCGGGCTCGGGAGCCCCTCGGCGGGGTTGGAGCCCCCCGGCACGGCCCTGCCCGGGGCTCGGTGCCGGTTCCCGAGCGAGCCGCGAAAAAATAACAGGCGCGGCGCTACCAATCCCGGCACCGCCGGCGGTGAAACTTAAACCGGGAAGGGCCACGGTCTAAAACCGATATTCCGCATTATTTATTATCATGGGACCCGTTATGATTTATGATGATGAGCCCGAGGAGCCCCGCGCTCGCCCCGGCTCCTCTGCGCCCTGCGCAACCCGCGGATCCGCTCGCCTCCTGCGCCCCGGGAACGGCGGAGCCGCCTGGGCTCCGGGAGGGGATTTCCCTTCCCCGGCTGCTCCGCGCACCGTGACCGAGGCAGAGCAAACGCCGGGCGGTTCACGCGAGCGATAGCAACGGCGATCCCGATAGCAGCAAAAGCGAGGGTGGGCGGCGGGGCTGCGCGGGGGGGGGTTTCCGTGGGGGCTGCGCGGCCCCGGGCTGCCTCTGGCTCGGCCCCGGGGCTCGGTGCGGAGCCGGGGCTCGGTGCGGATCGGTCGCCCGGTGCAGGCGGCTCTGCCCTCCGCGATCCCCGGGGGGAACGGGCCCGGAGCCCACCCCGCGCATCGCCACCGGGAGCGGCCGGGGCGCAGGGCGGAGGGACCGGGGTGGCGGCTGTGTCCCTGAGTTTCGTTAGGGTTTGGTCGTGGGGTTTTTGTTTGGTTTGGGTTTTTATTTGTTTGTTTTATATTTTTTTGTTAGTTTTATATATTATTTGTTTTTTCCGCTCGGCTCTGGCACGACGAGAGCCCCCTCGCCAGCCGGGCCCGGCGGCGGGGACAGGGGAGCGCGGCCCCGGCCCGGCCTTGCCGCAGCACCGGGACCTGGAACGGGCAACCGGGAGCCGGGAGCTGAGCTCCGCGGGCAGCACCGGCCGCCGGTCCCGTCCCGCCGCGAAGCCCCGTTTGGCCCCCCCGGCCCCACCGAGCCGAGGTGCGGAGCGGGGCGCAGCGGCCCTCCCTGCGCGCCTGCCTCCTTGGCGCGCCACGCTTTGCCCTTTTCATTTTATTTCTTTTTCTTTTCTTTATTTTTTAAATTTTCTTCCCTTTCCCTCTCCCTCCATCCGTTTCTGTTCGCTCTGCGCTTTCTCCTCCGGTTCCCGTTATTTGGGGGCTGGAGGCAGGTTGCCGCAGACACCGAGCGGCGGCTCGGGGCCCACTGCAGCCCGGCGGCACATTTGGAGGCCTCGCACTCCCCCGTCCCCGGGGAATCCCGGAGCTCCCGCCCCGGCCGTGCCCAGGCCCCCTCGGCGGCCACGATTGCCGCAGCCCCGGGGGACGCCCGGTGCCGGGCTGCGGCGTCGGGGGGCACGGAGCCCTCGCGGTGTCCTTCGCCGGGGATTGAGTTCTCGGGGATGCTGGGCTCCCGGCAATTGGATTACCAGCTAATTTCTTTCTTTTTAATCCACCGTCATTACAACCGCTTCGATTTGAGGGGATTCAGTGCGCGGCGAAGAGGGGTCCCGCTCGCAGCCCGTCCTGCGCGCAGCGGCAGGAGGTGAAGCAGCGCCGGGTCCCCCCTTTCCCACGGGTTTTGCCCCGCCGTAGGGAGCTCCAAACGGAGCCGTGGGTGGGGGGCAGCCGCTCGGGACCCCCGGCCCGGAGGCCTCGGCCGGGCTCGGGGCGAGCCGCTCGGGGTGGGCACGGGGCAGCGCTCGCCTCGGAGCCGGGTCCCGGGGTTGGGGGTTTCAGCGGGGACCAACGCGAGGTGTCGGGGAGGCGGCGGGGGTGCCTCCGGTGGCACCGGGAAGCCTCCGTTACCGGCAACCGGCCCGGGGCTGCCGGGCGGATCCGCCACCGGGGGAAGGAGAGGAGCGGCCCCGAGCCCCCCGACCCCAAACCGTGCAGCCGCGGGGGGGGGGGGGGCCAGAACCGGGCCGGGGCCCACTTCTCGCTTTATTCCTTCCACCCAGCCGCTGCAGCTCGGCTCGGGGGAGGGGGTGTGCGGCTGAACCCGGCCCTGCCGCCTCTCCCCCCGCGTTCCCGGGGCCGGGCAGCCGAGGGGGCTCTTTGTTTGCCCACCGCCCTCACGGGCCGGGAGGGCAGGGAATTGCGCGCTGCGTGCCGGGCAGCCGGCTTCAAACCTCCGCTTCTCTCCCCGCGCCTCCCCCGCGCCGCCGCCGCCTCCGCGGGGCCGGGGATGCGCAGCGCAGAGCGGCGGCGGCGCGGGGGAGGGCCGGGCCGGAGCAGCAGCGCCCGTCCTCCCGCCGCCCCCCCCCGCCCGCTTCCTCCGCAGCTCCCTCCCCGCCGCCTCCCCTTCCCCTCCGTGCCCCCCCAGCCGCCCCCTTCCCGGTATTGAATTCCCCGCACGCGGATCGCGGCCCCGCCGCCGCCTCCGCCGCTGCGCCCCCCCCCCCCACTCCCGGCTCCTTGGCCGCCGCCGGTCCTCGGCGGGGCCGGGCCGGGCTCTCCATGGGCGGGCAGCGCGGCCCCGGGGGCAGCCGGAGCGCCTGAAGTTTGCCCGGAGCGAGGTGCCGCGGGAGGTGGAGCTGGGGAGGGCACCGGGGAGGGGGGGGACACCCGGGATGCGGCAGGGTTTGGGGAGGGGGGGGGCTGTCAAAGTTTGTAACTCCCGCGCGGCCCCGGTGCACCCCCCCCCGTGGGGTGCCCTGCCGGGGGTGGGGGGCACCCCCCCCCGGAGCGGGGAGGGGGCGAGCTTTAAATGCCAGCCCCGGGGCCGGCTCCGTTCCTGCAGGCGGGAGGGCGACGGCGGCCGGGGGGCTGCGGCCATGGGGGCGCGCAGGGCGCAGAGCCCCCGGCTCTGCCAGGGCGCAGAGCCCCGGGGGGGCCGGGAGGGGCGGGGAGGGGCAGGGGTCTGGGGAGGGGGGGGCTGCCCTCCCCCCGCCTAGTCTTGCCTCCTCTCTGCCTCTCTCCGTCTCTCTCTCTCTCCCTCCTGATGTTTGATCCCGCCGCGGCGCCCGCAGGGATGAGCGATGGAGGGGCCGAGCCTGGCAGGAGCCCCCTGCTGCTGGCCGAGCCCGGAGCCCCCGGCCGGGCCCGGGAGAAGGCACCGAGCCGGGAGGAGCTGGAGAACGCGCTGCGAGGAGGCGGCGGTGGCTTCAAGGACATCCCGGGAACGTCGGCGGTCAGCCCCGGTTCCTCCAAGGAGTGCGCCCCGGACACCGAGAGCCCGTCGGGACCCGGCGAGGCGGATTATTGCCGCCGCATCCTGGTGCGAGGTACGGCCCCGAGTCCCGGTTCCCCCCCCCCGCACCCTCCCGGCCCCGCTCCCGGTGCTCCCGGTGCTCCCGGTGCGGCCCCGCCGCCGGCCGCCCCCGGCCCCCGGCCTCCCGGCCCCGCCGCCGCTGCCCCCGGCTCGGTTCCGCGCGGTGGGCACGGGGCCGCTCTCCCCGCTCCCTCCCGGAGCGGGGCCGGGGGGCGCAGCACGGCTCTGCCCGGCCGGGCCGGGGGTGCAGCGGGGGTCCACGACCCCTGCCCGGCCGTGCCGCGCTCGGGGGACGCGCACGCAGCGGGAGAAGGGCGAGCGGAGCAGCTTCGCTTTTAAACCGGTGGCGCAGGAGAAAAGCGTCACGGAGCGGCGGCGAGTTAGGGGCTATTTATTTCTTTTTTTTTTTATTTATTTATTTCCCCTCTTTATAATATCACTCTCCCGGCTGGGGCTGGGGGGCTCGGCTCGGCTGGGCTCGGCTCTGTCCCGGTAACGGGCAGCAGGCGGCGAGCAGCGGGCAGCCGAGCATCCCTCCCCGCCTCCGGCCCCGCGGCTCCCGTGGCCACCAGCGGCCGTGCTGGGGGCGAACCCCGAAAGTTTGGGGCTGGGGGCGGGCAGCGCTCGGTGGCCCCGGGCTCCGGGATGCGTCCTCCCGGGCTGCGCGCAGCGAGACCCCGGAGCTCGGAGGCCGCTGGGCGAGCAGGGCCGGGGCCGCACGGGCTCTGCTCCGGTCCCTTCCCCGGTCCCTTCCCCGGTCCCTTCCCCGGTCCCTTCCTCGATCCTGTCCCCAGCGCTCGTGGCACGGCGGCAGCCGGAGCCCCGATCCCGGTACAGCCGCGTTTTTCTCCCGGGTTTATCCCGGGTGTCCGCGGGTTCCCAGCCACGGGCCCGGCTCCGCACGGCTCGGCACGGCTCGGTACGGCTCGGTACGGCTCGGTGCAGCTCGGGCAGCCGTGGCCCGGCGGATGCTCGGCGGCGCTCGGCAGCCGTGCGCCGCGGATGCGCCTCGGGATGCGCCCGGGCTGCACGGAGCCGCGCGCGGGGCTCGCCGCGCAGCGAGGCCCTTCCCGCATGTCGCGATAGGAGCCTGTCGGGAGACCTCTCCCGGGGCAGCCCGCGCTCTCCCCGGAGGCTCCGGTCCCCCGGGTGGGTGCGGGTGGGAGCCCGGGGCTGGGGGCTGCGGGACCCCCCCGGGTACCCCCGGTTGGTCGCCAAGGCTGGCGGGGGTCAGGCTGGGGTCAGGCCCGGCTCTGCCCGGGCTTGGCCACGGTCCCGGCGGGGTCAGGCTGGGAGCGACCCGGGGGCGACCCGGGGATCGGGGGGGGGTTGCCCCCGGTTCTCCCCGTCCCCGGGTCCCGGCGGGCAGCGGCTGTTTTGCACCATCTTGCTGCAGCCGCCATGGCGCGGACAAAATGGTGGCGGGGAGGAAGGGCACAAACCCGCCGAGTTCAGCGGGCAGCGAGCGGGGGGCTTGGCGGGGAGCCCCCTGCCCAGCGGAACGGCCCCGGGGGCACCTGCAGCAGCGGGGCCAGCCCGGGACCCGCTGCCGGTGAAGGGCTCGGTGCCAAGCATGGGGCAGTGCCAGGGAAGCCGCTCGGCGTTGATTTCCCAGCAAGTGGTTTTGTTTTCCCCGCTGCTCCAGCTCCCTCCCGGTGTTTTATTTCCCCCACGCCAGGGATGGATCGTGGTGGGGTGGACCCAGGCCCGCTGTCCCCCGCCTCGCCCCCATCCTTCAGCCGTGTCCCCAGGCTCTGCTGTTTTGGGGCCAGGTGCGAATGGAGCCGCATCTCCCCATGTGCCGCTCCCAGCACCGGCCCCGTTCCTGACCTGGGGGGGTCACGTTCCCCCTGGCCGGGGGCTGTGCACACCGGGAGCCCCGGAGGCTCCGTGGGGCTGAGCCCGTGCACCGGGACCTGCACCGTACCGGAGCCTGCGGCTGCCACTGCGCCCATGGGTGCGGCTGCCTGGGGTGCTCCAGCCCTCTTTCCAGGGATTTTAGTCCCAAATTTTGTCTTGGATGTGCAGCCATCAGCAGCGTTCCCGGTCCCCAAGAGCAGATTGACTCACTACAGCCACACCGGGGAGGCTGCAAAGCCCCCGTGGCAGGACCTGGGGGGCTGTTTGGGGTCTGTAATCCCCTTATGGGATTTCTGCCCTTCTTGGCACCGGGGGCTGGCTGTGGGCCCCCCAGCCCTGTGCGGATGGGCACCTCACGGCCCTGCTGTGAGGGCTGCAGGGCCGGGGCACGGGGCCCCGCCGAGCTGGCGCGGCGTGCTGCGGCTCGGCACGCATCGCACCCAGCCCTCTCCCCCTCCCCGCGCCCAGCTGGCGGGGGAAATAACAATTAATAATACTGCTAATAATGCCAGCGGGGCTGTTCGGAGCGGCGGGGGCAGAGGGGCACGTTGCTGCAGCTGTGGCTGGGCAGCCTGCAGGTCCCTGCTGGCTGCTCCGTGCTTACAGCCCCGGCTCTTGTTGTGCCAGGGGGGGGACCTCGGCGCGGCTGCGGAGCGCGGACGTGGTCTGGGCACCATCCGAGCCAACGCTCTGCCCCTCGCCAAACATTTCCCACCCTGGCGTCCTCATCCTGCTGGAGATACCCTGGGGCAGAGGGCACCTTCCCTGCCTGGCAGGAGGCCGGCACACGCTCCTTGCCTCCCCCAGACCGTCTCCCCCCCAGCCCTCCCCATGCGCTCTGCGGTCCCAGCGCCGTGCTCCAGCCCGGATCGGGCTCTGGCCGTGCACCACGGTGGGAAAACGGCTCCAGGACTCGGGTGCCTCTCCCAAGCCTGTGCTTGCTCCCTGCTCCTTCCGTCCCCATGCCAGCTCCATCGCCCCCTCCCTGTCTGCTCCTCGCTGTTTCCCCCTTCCTGCCCCAGCAGCTTTTTAATCCTTTCACGCCTGAGTCAGCCGGAAAGAGAAAGCAACTTACCTCCAGCCGGGGCTGCTGGAGCCCTTGGGTCCCGCGGGGCCGGGGAGCCCTGAAGCGAGGGGTTGGGAAGCCAGGGGCCGCCTGCAGCAGCCTCGCCGTGCTTTCTGTGAGTGGTTTTTACCCTGCACGTTGCAGGAAAGGCGCTCGGCAGAACCGGGGGCTTTGCGCCCGGGCTTGGCTTCAACGTGGCTCCACCAGTGCTGCTGGTGATGAGTGCTGGGCCCGTGGTGTTTAAGGAAAGGAAGCGCAAAGAATGGCAAGCACGAGGGGTTTGTGCTCTGGGAGAGCTGGGGGAGCCCCGCAGGGAGCTTGCAAGGCGCAATTTTTAATGCTTGGTGCCGCATCCAGCACCCGGACCCCTCGGTAGCTAGCAGGGCGAGCACCCCGTCCGTGCACAGTAATGCTGGGGCTCCTTGGGACGGGCTGCAGGCAGCATCCTGCGGCGTGGAAGGGGTTGATGTGGGTAACGTGGGAGCCAAATCCCCGCGTGTTTCCCCGAGGAAGGCTTTGGGCAGCGGCCGTCCCAGCCTGGTGAAATCTGCAGCCTCCGCAGCAGCTGCGAACCCCCCCCGGCTGCAAAGCCGCCGCGGGTCTCGTTGCTCTCCACGTGCAAGAGTTTTCTTCCTAACAAAAGCCTCCTTTAGCCTCGAGTGTTCCAACACAGCCCCGAGCCCCCCAGCTGCTCCAGTGGGACCGGTTTCGGGGGTTTTGCCCCAAAGTGAAGCACCCAGAAGGTGCAGGCGCTGCTCACCCGCTGGGGCTGGGCGCACCGGGGCTGGCACCGCTCGGTGGTGCCGTGCCGTTCTGGTCCCAGTCTGGGGACCGTGCTGGTCCTGTTGGTCCCATCCCTGTCCCCCAGCACCCCCACCCCATCCTCCGGGGCTCAGGAGCATCCCGAGGCACGCGGCACATCCAGAAGTGGGAGAAAACGGCCCCAGAAGTGGGGGCTGCTGGCTTGCAGTGAGAATACTGCAGTGAAAACACCTTTGTAAAAAGGGAATTTCAACAGGGATTTATTTTTTTCCCAGTATTCTAAAGGAAGGACATAAACAAAACAAAAAAAAGAAAAAAAGACAATTATTTTAAATTCTGTTTAATTTGAACTCTTTCTTGCTATACAACTCTCTTCTGTTTCTGGCTTCCAGAAGCTATTTTAGCTGTGACCAAATGCTTCGTTTTCCTTAAGGAGTTTTTTTTTTTTTGGTTTCTATTTTTCATTTTGAAAAAAAAAATAAAAAATCCCTGTTTTTACAAAGAACTGTTAACACTCCCTGGAGATTTATAAATCCGTAGCACTTGGGGCCGGAGGGGACAATTGAACTGTGCGGTGTCACCTCTCCTAGCCGCAGCTCGGGCGATTTCTCGGAGTTACTCCTGCGTCAAGCCCCGGGAACAAAACCTCCCCCCGGCCCTCGTTGTGCAGCCTCATTTATGGAATATTTTCCTCCCCCCGTGGCGATGCTTTGGACCAGCTCCCCCCGACCCCTTTCCCCCCAGCCAAGCTTTATCCCCCCGCAGAGGCTCCCCCCTGACGTCCCCTCTCCCCGTTCCCCCTAGATGCCAAAGGGACGATTCGGGAGATCGTCCTCCCCAAGGGCCTGGACCTGGACCGGCCCAAGCGCACGCGGACGTCCTTCACGGCGGAGCAGCTCTACCGCCTGGAGCTGGAGTTCCAGCGCTGCCAGTACGTGGTGGGCCGCGAGCGGACCGAGCTAGCGCGGCAGCTCAACCTCTCCGAGACCCAGGTAAGGGGCCGTCGGCTTTCTCTGCCCCGCTGACATCCCCGGCTCCTCCAGGATGTGGGGAGGGGGAAGGTGGGCGCAGGGGAGAGGTGTCCCTGTGCTGACCCCAGCCCATGGCTCCAGCCCCCAAAGGGGGGCTCGGTGCGTGCCGGGGTGGCCGGGCGCTCGCTCGTGTTTCGGTCTGGAGCTTGGAGAAGCGTGCACGGTGCTGTGTGTGGGGCACCCTCACCCTATTTCTTTTTGAGCCAAAGGAGCGGTCGGTTTGCCATTTAGGGGGGGTTGAACACCCGTGTGGGGTTTACAGGGAGCATCCCCGGTGCCGTGGTGCAGCCCCAAAACTCTCGGTGCTGCCCCAAAACGCTCACGGCAGCGCCCTCGGCGCAGCGTGGCCGGGCAGGAGCGCACGGTGCCACCGGGAGCAGGCTGGGTGCAGGCTGCCTGGGTGTGATCTGCGGTGGGGAACCCACACCAGAAACCCAGTTTGGGCACGCGTCCTGCCCCAGCACAGCCCTGCCGAGGTCTGTGGGGTGCAGGGAGAGCGGGGCTGGGCTGCGCGGTCCGGGTGAGCGGAGGTGGAGGAGTTTGTGCCGTGCTCAGGGGGTCGTGGTGATGTCTGCTAAGCAGGAGTTAGGGTTGCAGTGATTTGGGTTTGAAAATTAATGCAAAAATAATAATAATAATAAATAATAAATAATAAATAATAATAATAAAATAATAAAATGAATGGAGACCCCCGTGCCAAACAGCACGGTTGGGAACTACCGAAATAACTCCGCTGCTCCCTCTGGCCAGTAAGGCACGTCTGGAGACAGCTACGATCCCACAATCAGATTGGAAATAATCCCAATTTTCCCCAAATTCTCCCAGAACAAAACTTCCCTTGGCTGCCAGCAGCCTGACCCTGGCTCCTGGCTCCTGGCGCGTGCCGTGCTGGGGGTCTGGCTGCGGGGACACCCCCACGGCATCCATCCATCCCCCTGCGAGGGGAGCAGGAGGAGCAGAGCCCCCCACTCAACCCCAACCCCCCCTGGCTCTGCTGGTGGCAGGTTTTGACTGCAGGACGCATCCCGGGAGGTGCTGGTGGCACGGTGAGGAGCGAAGCGCCCCGGCTCCTGCGCTCGGGGTCTGCTCCCCGCGGTGCCAGCCCTGGGGACGCGGTGGGTGCCGGCAGCACGGCGCTGCCCTAACCGTGCCGGGGACGAGCACGGGGCCGGGTGGGTGCTGCTGGCACCGCACGGGGCTGGCAGGATGGCAGGAGGGGAGGCGCAGCCGTCGTGTCGGGGGGCCGAGTGTCCGTCTGGGTGGTGCCTGGGTGCTGCGTTTGCCGCTCGGTGAGAAAATTCGCACCCTGTAGGCCACGGCTGTCTCTTCTCCTCTTCTCTCCTCCTTCCTGCATCCTCTTTTCCCCATCGCTCTCCTTCGTCTCTGTCTTCTTAAATCCCTTCCTCTGCTTTTCACGGTGTTTCCTCCCCTGCGGCCAGTTCCCAGTGGCAGCTCCGTGCCCCCCGCCGCCCCTCCCCGGCCCCCTCTCCTTGGTGAGGTGGGGGCCCCGGGCTCTGCACACCCAGGCGTTGCTGTCTGCATCGGGGAGTTTTTTTGGCAGGATTTGGGCGATGCCCCCCAGGCTGGGGGCCGTGTCTGTGCTGCACCCCCCACGCTGCCCCCCGAGATGTGGCCCAGAGCTGGGGGCTCAGCACCAGCCACTCCCGTCCCACGGGGCTCCCCTGTGCCCATTGCCTCAGATGGGGAAAAAAAATCCGATTTCTGCAATAATTACAGCATTTCTCATTTTGGGGTGGTTTCCCTCCTGGTGAGCATCTCCCAGGACCCGGGGCAGGCCGTGGTGTAACTGCTCCATCCGATGCTTTGCGCAGCTCCCAGCACCCTGTGGCTATTTCTTGGTCAAAATTTGGCATTGTGCTGGCGACTGGGGCAGATCCTTTGCGCTCCCTCCTTGAATTTCACCTCGAATTTCACCCAGGGTGTCCCTGTGTCCGTCTGCTGGGCTGTGCCTTCCCCAGGGGACTGGGGGGGGACTGCTGGGCACGGGGCGAGTGCCGGGGGGGGGCACCTCCAGCCAGGAGACCCAGCGCCTGCTCTGCCTGTTGGATGCTGCTCTGGCCCCAGCCCGGTGCCGTTTGCGTCCTTTCTTCCTAATTAATCCGTGGAAATGGCAGTTTGGTGCTAAACGAGATTAATTAGCCTGGGGAGCGCTTCAATTAGCTCGTAAAGGACGTCCTGGGTGGGTGCCCTCATCCCCACGGGGACATCCCGGGGGGCTCCCACGTCCCATCGTGGCACGGGGACATCCCGCTGGGCTCCCTCGTCCTGTCTCATCCCGGGGTGGTGTGTGGGGGTCCCCCCAGACCCCCCAGCAGCCCCTCTGCCCTCTCCAGGCAGCGCACCCCGACCCCAAGGCGTTGGGGCAAGGTGCCCCTTCTTGGTGCCATTACGGGATGGAAAACGCCAAGCACCGAGGCAGAACGACCCCGGGGGGATGTCGCGGGGAGGATAATTCCTACAAATCCCCAGGCGGGAGGCGAGGAGGGGTGGGCTGCCCGGGGGGGGATTTGCCTGGGCCAGGAGGCTTTGCTTTCTGGGTCAGGAGTTCAATGCCAGGCTCAGGTTCAAGTGACACGAGGCTTTTGCCAGCTCTCCACATCCTCGTGGGAGCCGGGGTGGAGGTGGCACACGGCCACCAAGGGTCCCTGGCTCGGGACAGGGTCATCCTCGGACCCCCAGGCACCCTCCGTGGTGGGGGTACCCCCTGCACCAGGCTTCCAGGATTTTTCCCCCTGACTCCGAGCAAAACAGCCTTGAAAAAGTGGTCGAGCCAGGGCAGGGGCTGGCAGGTCTATTTATAGCACGACAATTAAGACGAGGCGGTTAAAAATTAATCGCACCTCCAGCCATTAACAACTCTCAGCCCCGGCAGGAGAAAACAATGAGACAAACGTCTGTGGGCTTCTGGCGTGGAGAGCCACGGGAAAGTTGTGGCTCTCCCATCCTGCCACCCATCCACCACCCAAAATTCACCTTTTTTGGAGTTTTTTGCGAGACAGCCGCTCTTGAGATGCTTTAGGAGGTAATCCAAAAAGCCTGGGTGCTCCGACAGCCCCCCAAAACTCAGCTGGAGCTGAGCGAAATGGTCAATGTAAATAAAGGTGGGAGTTTTGGGGCCGGCTCTGATGCCACCCCATTTTCTGGTGCCACTGGCGCAGGGAACCCCAACCCTGAACCCCAAACCCCGGTGCTGCCTGGAGCTCCCACCACACAGCTCCCTGCCCACTGCCGGGTCTGTCTCCTCCCCGGCAGCACCTTTTGGATCCCTGAGAATTTTATAGATGGGGAAAACGTCCTACAGCCTTGCCGGAGCCTCGGAGGAGACCTGGGGTTGTCCCCACCTGGTTTTGGCACTCGCTGGCTGGGTGTCCCCTAGGAGAGGCGTTGGGGCTGGGTGGAGCAGGGCGCTGTAGGCACAACTATGGCCCGGAGCACGTCCATCCTGGGTATTTTGGGGGGCTCGGTGTGGGTGCTGGCACTTTTGGGGCTGGGGCTGGGTGCTCAGCGCCGGCTCCCATCACCGCCGGGGCTGGCGAGAAGGCGGCGTCTGCGCGGCCACCGCGCGGTTACAAAACCTCTTGGGCAGGCAGCCCGCCGGCTTACGCAACGCGGCTGCGGTGCGAGGAGGAGGAGGAGGAGGAGGAGGAGGAGGAGGAGGAAGAGGAGGAGGAAGGGCAGGCTGCCTCCCACCTTCCCTGCACCACGGCGAGGGGCTGATCCCGGGCGGCCAACGCCGGTGGGGAACCGGCCTCGATCGGTGCGACGGAGGCGCACGGCGCGGAGAGCGGCACAGCGCCGGGGTCACCGCCGGGGCAGGGCTGTTAAATAACAAACTGCATTAAAAAAAAAACCACCAAAAAACACAAAAACCAGGCGAGCCCCCCGCCCTGCATGCGCCCGGCCCCGTGCTCCCCACGTGGCGAGGCCCAAGGGTGTCAGCACCAGGGGCTGGGGAGCTCCAGCCCGTGGGGCGCGGAGGTGCCGATGGGTTTTGGAGGCTCGGTGCGATCCCGCCGGGGAGTTTGGGGAAGGGCAGGGTGGCCGGGGGGGGAGATGGTGAGGGAGAGCGCGTGTGTGTGTGCGCCGGCACGGCTTAGTGAGCAGGGCTGAGGGATGGGACCTGGGTGGGCAGTGGGGGGGTCTCAGGATCTCCTTGGCTCCTCCAGCAAACCGTGAGGGTGCGGGGAAGCCTCGTGCTGCTGCCCAGCCTCCAGCCGGTGCCACGCGTTTTTTGGGTGCCCCGTGACGGGAAAAATAAGTGTGCAGAGGGGAGGCAATGCCCAGGGGCCGTATCCAGCTAGGTGGGGGCTGGCGTGGGGAGGGAAATGTTGTGGGACCTTTCGCAGAGCTTGGGGCAGCGATGGGCGAGCGGAGCAGGGGGGCTGCAGCCAAAATGCTTCGTGGGGCTTTGGGATGCTCCAAATGCCCTGTGAGCTCCTGCCCTGCAATTTGGGTTCCCTCCCCACGATTTGGGCTCCCTCCCCAGAATTTGGGTTCCCTCCCCACGATTTGGGCTCCCTCCCCAGAATTTGGGCTCCCTCCCCACGATTTGGGTTCCCTCCCCATGATTTGGGCTCCCTCTCCACAATTTGGGTTCCCTCCCCACAATTTGGGCTCCCTCCCCACCCCGGCCACGGGCTCCCTCCACCTTTCCACCCCAGCGTGGCACGGGGGGAGCTTGGCCTTGCCGGCTGGGGGCCTTAATCGGGGTTAATCATTTGGAAATCATTTCTTTTGTAGCCCAGAGGTGTCGGGCAGAGGGCAGGGATCCGAGCGGGGTCCCGGCGGCTGCTCCCAGCACTTCAGCCCCGGCTCAGCCACGGAAGGAGATGACCAGGGGGGCAAAGGCTTTGGGGAACAACTGCCCCCTGGGGGGCTCGTGGGGGCTCCTGGCCATGCCCCCAGCCCTGCTTTTCTCCTCGGGGGAGCCGTGGCCCCACAGCCGGCTGCGAGCAGGATGCTGCCGAGGGCACGAGCGTGCGCACGTGGTGCTGCCCGTGCCAGCGCACACGGGTGGGCAGGAGCGCGTGGATCAGAGCACGCGCGCGTGCACGGGTGGTTTTGCACACCCCAAATCCTGGCAGCCCCCCCTCGGGCGGCTTTTCCACGGGCGGTGCAGAGATGCGGGAGCGGTGGCCGTTTGGTTTTGGGGGATGCTGTGGAGCGCTCGGTGCTGCTGGCACGAGCTGCTCGTGTAAAATCCCACCCAGATGCGGGCACTCGCGCCTTGCCGGGCAGCTCCAGCACGGGAGGGGCTGTCCGTGTGTCCGTCCCACTGCTTGGCAGGCGGACAGACGGACACGGAACGACTCCTCGGAGCATCCCCACAGCGGGGCCCTGGGCAGCTCCGGTGCTCGGTGACATTTTTTTGAGTCATTTTCCCAGCGCAGGGGAGCAGGTGGCACCGAGCACGCGGCTCGGCTGCCAAGCGGGGAGCCGGGGAGGGGACGATTGGGGACGTCGCTGCTGTGATGTGTGGGGGGCACGGGGGGGCTGTTGATGCTGAAGGGGGACAGGGGGACAAGGGGACAGCCTCGTTTGACCTGGGGTATTTTTTGTTCCTCTCCCTGCACCCCCTGTGCACTGCAGGATGCTTGGGGGGGTGCACCCTGGCACGGGGTGCAGCGTGAAGGGACCCATGGAGAAACCACGAGACAGCGTGGGGGCTGTTGGGGGGGTCCTATGGAGCCCCTGGCACTGAGCTCCTGTGGGATGAACCCTTCCCAGCGGGAGGGAAGCCTCGTGCAGGGAGGTGCCCGGCAGCTGGGGGCTGGTGGCAGTGCTCCTGCCTGCCCTGCAGCTCGCTCTGGCGCAGGGCAGGCGCTGGGGGGTGCGCATTTAAAGTGAAAAAAAAAATAAAACAAACCAAAAAAATTAAATTAATATATCAAAATAATATATTAAAATGATTAATAAAATAAAATAAAGCAATTAAATTGGATTAAATTAGCCCCCAAGCCCCGCAGCCCCACGGGGAGCTCACAGGGGTGGGGAGCGCGTGCCCGCGTCTCCGCCGGGCACCCTTGGGGCTGGCCGAGTGGCGTGGAAATTACCTGTCCCCAGCACCAGGAGCCCTCCAGATGCTCTCAGATTTGTAAACCTCAGCCCGTGCCTGGCCTCACACCACACCGAGAGCTCTCGCCAGGCTTCTCGTGAGCCGGGTCCCCTCTCTGTGCCGCCTGCCTGCTCCGTGCCGGCACGCGGGGGGCAGGAGGTGGGTTTGTGCCAGGACAAATTGAAGCTGCTGCCTCCGGAGAAGACCTCGGCAAAGCTCTGGCTGCGGTGAGAAGCGTACGAGAGGGGAGGTGGGGACGGATCCTGCTGGAAGACGAAGGGCCGGAGGGGAATTACTCATGGACTCGCCGAGGACCGGGTCTGGCTGAGCTTATTTACGTCTCCGGCGAGAGGGACGCAGCCCTTGATCGTAATGGAGGCTGAAAAGGACACGGATCCACTAATTAGCGACAAGCTGGATATGAACTTCAGCCACGGGGGCAAATGTGATCCTGCTCACCACGACGCCCGTGCAGACGGGAGCAGCCCCAGCCGGGCAGGGGCACGAGGACGAGGAGCCCAACGCAAGGCTGGGGCGCTGGGCGCAGAGGGCAGGGGCGCAGGTGCCAACCTGGAGACCCCTCTTGGTGCCTCCTGGTTGACATCTTAGGAAAAATACCCCTGAGGGGACCCTGCCCACCTCTCCTGCCCCTGCTGCCCCTGCCTCGTCCCCTGGGGCTTGCTTGTCCCACGTGCAGGACACGCTGGTGCCTCCCCTTATCCGTCTCTGCGCATGGTGACGGGGCTGTGCCTCCAGGCAGGTGCCTGCTCCGAAATCCCCAAGCACGGCTGCCGAACCCATGGTGTGGTGCTGTGCCCGGGGACGGGGTGTGCGCCCTGCCCCACTCCCCGATGTGGAGGGCGGGATGGGGGCAGCGAGAAGGGGATGTCAGTTTTGGGTCCCCCCGGTGGCACCCAGGGCCCCTTGGGATGGAGGCGAGCGGTGGTGCCGGGACCCCCTTGGGAATTTGGGGATGGGTGTGGGCTGCTGGCCCTGCTGCCCCTGCTCCTCCCCGAGCAGCCCCAGCCCCGTGGCCGTTGTTATACCCCCTGGAAAGGGGCCGGGGGGCTGCGACCTCCTGCAGCCCACGGTCCATTAGCTCTGCACTGTGATCCCATTGTGCCGGGGGACGCGCGGGGGCTGTGCCCCTCGGTGGCCCTCCTGGGGCGACGCTGCAGCGGCCCCAAAGGGTGCCAGCCCCTCCTGCCAGGCTCTAACACGAATCTCTTCCCACCCGTCTCCTTCCCTCTCCTGCCTCTGCCTGTCCGTCTGTCCCTCCGTCCCCTCTCTGTCTCTTTCTGCCTCTCCTACCCCTCTGCTCTGCCAGGGAGGGACAGAAGCGTGGCGATGCCACCGGCTTAGGGGGTGCCGGGGCAGCCCTGAGCCCACCCCAGGGTGTAGGGTGGCCGTGGGACGAGGGACACGGGGGGCTGGGGACCCCGTCCCACCCGGGTGCTCAAGCTCCACTTTTGGGGCTCCTCCAGGCTGGAGGACGGACGGAGAGGCAGGAGCAGGGATGCTCGAGGCAGCCTGGGGAGGGGATCCCCACCCCGCTCCCCGCGGCTTCACGCCTGGAAGCGGCTCTGCCTTCAGATGTTCGGGGCCACCAGAGCCCTGCTGGCCCCAGAGGTGACCCCGGCACCGTAGCACGGCCGGGGACACCCCAACTGCTTGGGCAGGGCGGCAGAGCTGGGGTTTAGGGCTTTAGGGGCACCGCAGGGGGTGCCCAGCGCCCGTAGCTCGGCTGCGCCAGGAGAGCACCCATGGGCACGGGCGGCACCACGGGAAGCAGACCCTGACCCTGCTTCCCCCCTGCAGCCCCAGAGCTTTGCTCTTCCAGAAATTTGCTGTTCCAGAGCTTTGCTGTCTCCGAAATTTGCTGTTTCAGAAATTTGCTGTTCCAGAATTTTGCTGTTCCAGAAATTTGCCGTTTCTCTGGAACTGGCAGCGGGCCGGGCTCCCCGCAGCCCCTCTGAACGGGGCAGGGGGCCGGGGCGTTTGTTTTGGCACGTCTGTCTCTCTCGCATCTCTCACTCTTCTCCTGGTTCTTGTCTCTCTGTCCCTGCCCTCCCCGTGCTGTCTTTCTGTCCGTGCCTTTCTGTGTCCCCCCCCCTCCTCCCTGCCCCGTCCCCAAGGTCAAGGTCTGGTTCCAGAACCGGCGCACCAAGCAGAAGAAGGACCAGAGCAGGGACTCTGAGAAACGCTCCACCTCCACCTCCGAGTCCTTCGCCACCTGCAACATCCTCCGGCTGCTGGAGCAAGGCCGGCTCCTCTCCGTCCCGGCCCCCCCCAGCCTCCTGTCCCCCACCTCCCACCCCGTGGGGAGTCCTGCGGGCAGCGGGTCCGGCGTGGCCACCCCGGGAACCACCTCACCGGGGCTGGGTGGCCGCAGCAGCCCCCCCGGCACCGGAGCCTTCAGCCTGCAGATCCCTGCCCTCGCCGCCTCCTCCTCCTCCTCCTCATCCTCCTCTTCCTCCTCTTCCTCGGCCAGGCTGCCCGCGGCCCCGCTGTGCTTCGGGGCGCCGCTGCTGGGCAGCCTGCACGACCTGCCGAGCGCTTACGGACTGGGCAGCTCCGCTTTTGAGCCTTACACGCGGCTGGAAAGGAAAGACAATTCTCTACCCAGCAAGAAGCCGAGCCCTTAAACGAAAACGAGTGTCAAAAGGTGTCCTCCCCCCTCCCCATCTCCGTCCCCACGCACCCTGCGCCCCACGCGGGGCTCGTGTCGTGAGTGGGGGCTGAAGGACTTCACCAAAGGGCCGGGTGCTGTGCGTGCACGCCCGGCCCCCTCCCCAGGATCTAAGATCCCACCGAGGACCACACCGCCCACCTCCTCTCCCTAGGGCTGATTCCGAGCCTGGTCACCACTGCCTGGGTTCCCGGGTGTCCCGGTGCTGCCGCGTCCCCTCCCCACACCACTGGATCCACCAGGGCCACCTCCCCTTCCAGGTACCCCCTGGGTTCGCAGGACGATGCTGCGGGCCAGGAGCAGCCCCCGGGGGTGGGCAGGGGGTGCTGATGCCCCGTGGACGTCTCCTGCTGTTCGCTCACATCCCATGGAGTGGCACGGGTGAAAACGCAGAGCCCTGCTCCCCGCGGGTTGTCCCCAAAAGTGCTGGGGGGTCACCACGTTCCATGGTGCCGGAGGGTCCCGGTGCCAAATCCTGCTCCCAGGGCTCAGCCCCAGCAGTGGTGGGGGTCTCAGGGCTCATCCTGCGGGCGGTGCTGGGGCTGCTCCTGGGCAGCACCGTGCGGGCAGGACCCTGGGCTGGCACCTCCCGGGGGCAGGATAATCGGGGGGCATCCCCCTGGCAGGACACCCTGAGGAGGCATCCCCCTGGCAGGGTGCCCCGCGGTGGCATTATTCCCATCAGGGTGCCCCGTGGTGGCATTATTCCCTGCTAGGAACCTCCCTCTGCAAATTTCTGTCCAGGAAACAAAAAGAGGAGAAGCAGGAGCTGGGAGCAGAGCCAGCCGTGCAAGCACGGAGCGAACGCCAGCTTTAGGAGCCCCACATTTTGCTTTTCCCAACTGAACTGAAAATATTTGGGGAAGAGAGGGAGAAAGAAGCCCAAAATAACACCAGAAGCACTCCCAGCAAGGAGGGGCCGTAGCAGGGACTGTTTTTCCTTTAAACCAAGCGTTTCTGTGGCACAGCAGCTGTCCCTCATCACGCCTGGAGCACTTTACGGGAGCGCGCTGCCCAGGGCGCAGGTGGGGAAACTGAGGCAGGAGGAGGGCTGGCAGGGGGCAGGGGCAGCGCCGGGGGCACGGGGGATGCTCCCTGCTCCTGCTCAGCTCAGACCACAGCTCCCAGCCCTGGGGGGGGCTGCAGGCAGATGCCCCCGTCCCCAAATGTGGCCCCCAGTTCCCCGTCCTCCCTCCCGCACCATCACCGCGCTCCCAACGCCGCCGTGGCGCTGGTGCCCGACCGAGGTTTTGGATTTCGGCAGGACGAGGACCTTCCCCCTCCCCAAATCACTTAATTTATATTTATATCGCCGTTTTCCATCCCCACGGGCTCTGGGGGTTTCGGAGCGAGCGGGGCCGAGCTGGGGGGGGCTGGTGCTGGGTCCCGCAGGCAGGACCTGCTGGCAGCCCCCCCGGCTTTGGCTCTCCCCGGGCGAGCTGTGCCACCAAAATTTCCCGAGGGTTTCGCCCTGGTTCCTCCCCTCCTGGGTGAACCGGGAGGAAATTCGGGGTGGTTTTGGTTCAGAAGTGGCCCCCCTGGCGCTGATGCGGTCGGGGACGTTTGGGCTCACTTTGGAGAGCGCCAGGCTTGGGTTCGCTTCCCAAAGTTCCCCAAAATCTGGGGTGCTCCGAGGATGCCCCGGGGGTCTCCTGCGCCCCTGTTCCAATTTTGAGGGCAGCAGGGCAGGCAGAGGCTGTAACACGGAGCAATTTTGGCAAACTAAACCCAAGGAAAGCTGCCACAAACCTACCCCAAGATGTTGCTGCTGCCCCAAAACCAACCCAAGGGGGGCTCAGGAGGGGAGCCCGGTCCCGGGGTGCTCGCCCCCAGCCCCGCTCGCCCCCAGCCCCGTGAGGTTGGAGCAAGAGAACCAAATCATGTCCTGTATGTGAAACTCGGCGTGGTTTCTGATGGTTTCTAATGGTTTCTAATGGTTTCTAATGGTTAATAAAAGTGACGTCCTGCCTCCCGCCTGCCGCCTCCTCCTTTGCCCTCGGTGGCCAAGCTGCCCCCCCGGCTGCAGCCCCCCAGTGCTGGAGATCCACCTGCACCCCACAACCTTCACAACCCACCCATGGGTGCAGGTCCGTGACCCACACGAGCCCCTGTGACCCCCATGTCCCCCCCGTGTCCCCCCCCATGTCCCCCCCTGTCCCCCGTGCCCGGGCACCCAGAGCATACACTGGGCTGGGGGGGGGCGCAGACCCCAGACCCCTTCCCCTGCACTACCCCGTCCTCACCCTGACCCCCCCCCCTTCCCTTACCCCTACTCAAACCCCCCCCGGTTACCGCAGCCCCCTGCCGAAATGCCCCCCACCAGACCCCAATATCCTCAGCCCTCCCCATGCCCCTAATGCTCCGAATCCACCCGACCTGCACTCCAAACCCTAATTCTGCCTTTACCCCAAGCCTCCCCCGACCCAAATCCCTCCCTTACCCCCTACCCCTAACCCCTACCCCTAACCCCTACCCCCTACCCCTACCCCTACCCCTACCCCTACCCCCTACCCCAAACCCCTACCCCTAACCCCTAACCCCTACCCTAAGCCCCTACCCCTGCCCCTGCCCCTACCCCTAAACCCTATCCCCTACCCCTACCCCCTAACCCCTACCCCTACCCCCTACCCCTACCCCCTACCCTTACCCCCTACCCCTACCCCTACCCCTACCCCTAACCCCTACCCCTAACCGCTGACTCCTACCCCTACCCCTACCCCTAACCCTTACCCCTACCCCTACCCCTAACCCTATCCCTAACCCTTACCCCTAACCCCTACCCCTACCCCTATCCCCTACCCCAAACCCCTACCCCTAACCCCAAACCCCTACCCCTACCCCTTCCCCTGCCCTTGCCCTTGCCCCACTGCCCTTACCTTTCCCCACCCCACTCCCCGCCCCTACCTCCCCTCTGTTTACAGCCAACACAGGGCAGAGCCGCTGCAGGCGGGGCAGCCGTGCCGAGCCGAGCCCAGCCGTGCCAAACGGTACCGTGCTGAGCCGTGCCGAGCCGTGCCAAACGGTACCGAGCCGTGCCAAGCCGTGCCAAGCCGTGCCAAGCGGTACCGAGCCGTGCCAAGCCGCGCCAAGCCGTGCCAAACGGTACCAAGCCGTGCTGAGCCGTGCCAAACGGTACCGAGCCGTGCCAAACGGTACCGAGCCGTGCCAAACGGTACCAAGCCGTGCCAAGCCGTGCCAAGAGGTACCGAGCTGTGCCAAACGGTACCGAGCCGTGCCAAACGGCGGTACCAAGCCGTGCCAAGCCGTGCCAAGCGGTACCGAGCCGTGCCGAGCCGTGCCAAGCCGTGCCAAGGGTGCCAGTGCCGGTCCATGGCGCTGCAGGTGCAGGCAGCAGCCCGGGAGCACGCCCTCGCCGTCACCCGCGACTTCAACAGCAGCCCCCGGCTGAGTGAGTGAGGGGCAGGGCTCGGGGGGCTGCGGGGGCTGGGGGCTGGGGGGGGCTGGGGGGGGCTCCGCCACCCTGCGGGGTCCCCGCGGGGGCTGGGGTCACGGCCACCTCCCCAGCGAGGGGGGCGCAGGGGGGTCCCCACCAAGGTCAGGTGCAGCCGTGCTGGGGGGCGCGGGGGTCCTCCGGGTGATGGAGCCCACCGTAATGGGGATGGCTCTGCGCCCCCCCCAGGACAACGTGCCCCCCCCGTGTCACTGCTCCCAGCCCCAAAATTGCTGGGTGCAGGCACAGCCTTGCCAGGGGGGTCCCTGGGCTCACCGTGCGTGAGCCAGGCAGGGGGACCCCACACATCTCCGGGGGTCCGGGGGCAGCTGGGGTCATCTCTGCACCCCCCCACCTGCCCGGGTTCAATGGGGTCGGAGGCGTCAAGGGCACTGGAGGCTGGTGGAGTCCCATGGTTGCGTGCCACCCGCTGTTTGCTGTCAACACAGGGCAGGAGCAGCACCACCAGGACCCGGCTGCGGGCGGCTTCTCCCCGGTTGGCACTGGGCGAGGGCAGCCTTCGGCCTCAGGAGGGGCAGGGGGGGGGCAGCGAGGGGCTGGGGCTGCGCCTCAACCCGCTGCAGGCAGCTCCTGCCCCCCCCCCGGAGAGCCCCAAACCGAACCTGCAGGCACCGGCTCGCGTTGCGCACCCATGGGTGACGGTTTGCTGGCCGGCAGCCCCCGTGCCAAGCTCAAGCAGTGCCCCCACAAACAGCCCCCCCCGTGATGTGCGAGGAGCACGGGGTGCTGGTGGTGCTTGTAGGATCAAGGACGCGTTGTCCTGGGGGGGCTGCGTTGGTTTTGGGGTCAGGGAATGTGCCCAGCCTCGCATGGGCATGGTGAGCCTTGTGCCTGCTGCGGGGAGGTGGAGGATTTGGAGAGGGGGGGTCTCGGAGCTGGGGGACCCCTTGGGACCCCCGGCATGGGGGTGTTTGGAAAGGGGAGGGTGGGGGCAGGGGGGAGGCTGGTGCTGTCCCTGTAGGGCGCACCTGAGAGGGGCATTTTGGAAGGGTTTTGGGGGGACTTTTATCAGGGTCCCCTGCGTGCGAGGCATGCTGTCCCTGTCCCCTTGCTTGGTGCCGAGGGGGGGGCGCAGAGCTGGGGCTGGGGGCTCTGCGCCATGGGATGGAGCCAGGGGGGTGCAGGCTGCCCCAAGCACCAGTCCTCGTGTCCCCCCCCCGCCCCAGCCTGGGGTCACGCAGGAGGGCCGGGGGGAGAAGCAAGGAGCTCGGGGGGGGCTCTGCCTGGAGCAGGGGGGGGGCACCAGCTGCTGCCCGGGAGGGGACCTGGTGCTCGGTGTGGGCACCGCTGCAGCTCCATGGGGCCGGGCTGTCCCTGGGCACCGGGGGGGTGCTGGTGATAGGGAGAGAGACCCCCTGGGGCACCCCCCCCGCGCCTCGGCAGCACGGCACTGAATGGAACCGGGGTGGGCTGGATGCCTGCCCCCCACCCCAGGGCAGCATCCCCGTGCCCTGCTCCATCCCATCCCATATCCCATATCCCATATCCCATATCCCCATCCCATCCCATCCCCATCCCCATCCCATCCCATCCCCATCCCCATCCCATCCCCATCCCATCCCCATCCCCATCCCATCCCATATCCCATATCCCATATCCCATATCCCCATCCCCATCCCATCCCCATCCCCATCCCATCCCATCCCCATCCCCATCCCATCCCCATCCCATCCCCATCCCCATCCCATCCCATCCCATATCCCATATCCCATATCCCATATCCCCATCCCCATCCCCATCCCCATCCCATCCCATCCCCATCCCATCCCCATCCCCATCCCCATCCCATCCCATCCCATATCCCATATCCCATATCCCATATCCCCATCCCCATCCCATCCCCATCCCATCCCATCCCCATCCCCATCCCATCCCCATCCCATCCCCATCCCATCCCCATCCCCATCCCCATCCCCATCCCCATCCCCATCCCCATCCCCATCCCATCCCATCCCCATCCCCATCCCCATCCCCATCCCCATCCCCATCCCCATCCCATCCCCATCCCCATCCCATCCCCATCCCCATCCCATCCCCATCCCCATCCCATCCCCATCCCATCCCCATCCCATCCCCATCCCATCCCCATCCCCATCCCCATCCCCATCCCCATCCCCATCCCCATCCCATCCCCATCCCCATCCCCATCCCCATCCCCATCCCCATCCCCATCCCCATCCCCATCCCCATCCCATCCCCATCCCATCCCATCCCCATCCCATCCCCATCCCCATCCCATCCCCATCCCCATCCCCATCCCCATCCCCATCCCCATCCCCATCCCCATCCCCATCCCCATCCCATCCCCATCCCATCCCCATCCCATCCCATCCCCATCCCCATCCCATCCCCATCCCATCCCCATCCCATCCCATCTCATCCCATCCCCATCCCATCCCCATCCCATCCCCATCCCATCCCCATCCCCATCCCCATCCCCATCCCCATCCCCATCCCCATCCCATCCCCATCCCCATCCCCATCCCCATCCCCATCCCCATCCCCATCCCATCCCCACCCCATCCCCATCCCATATCCCCATCCCCATCCATCCCATCCCCATCCCCATCCCCATCCCCATCCCCATCCCATCCCCATCCCCATCCCATCCCATCCCATCCCATCCCCATCACCATCCCCATCCCCATCCCATCCCCATCCCCATCCCCATCACCATCCCCATCCCATCCCCATCCCATCCCATCTCATCCCATCCCCATCCCCATCCCATCCCCATCCCCATCCCATCCCATCCCCATCCCCATCCCATCCCCCCTCTGTGCTGGCCCAGTCCTCGGCCCCAAAATCCCTCGCGGACGCCTGGCCCAGCTGGTGCCTGCTCTGCCCCCCCAGAACGGGGTCCTGCAGCCCCCCCCTGCCGCCACCCCCAGCCTTGTTTTGCCTGATAGAGATATGACAGCAAGCCCAGCTTCTTTTTCCCATTTCTTTTTTTTTCCATTTCTTTTTTTTTCTTTTTCCCATTTCTTTCTTTTTCTCATTTCTTTTTTTTTCCCATTTATTTTTTTCCCATTTTTTCCCATTTATTTTTTTTTTCCTTTTTCCCATTTATTTTTTTCTTTTTCCCATTTATTTTTTTTCCCCATTCTTTTCCCCATTATTTTTTTCCCCCATTTTTTCACATTTCTTTTTTTTTTCTTTCCCCCATTTCTTTTTTTCCCCCATTTCTTTTTTTCTCCCATTTCTTTTTTTTTTTCCCATTTCTTTTTTTTTCCCATTTCTTTTTTTTTTCTTTTTCCCATTTCTTTTTTTTCCACCATTTCTTTTTTTTTCCCCATTTCTTTTTTTTTTTCCCATTTCTTTTTTTTCCCATTCTTTTTTTTTTTCTTTTCCCATTTCTTTTTTTTCCCCCATTTTTTCCCCATATCTTTTTTTTTTCCCCCATTTTTTCCCATTTCTTTTTTTTTTTTTTCTTTTCCCATTTCTTTTTTTTCCCCATTTATTTTTTTTCCTTTCCCCACTTCTTTTTCTTTCCCCCCTCTCT